CCGCTTTGGTTTCTTTCATGATAGATAGTGCCCAGAAACCAGTAGGAAAGAAAAAGCTACCTTGGTTTGGATTGGGATAACCTCAGACAGTCCAAAGGAGGGAGAATAAGGCAAAGGTTATGTGCAATTAATGTGCAAATAATGTCCAGGCAATCCCAGCCTAAATGATTGGTTGTCTCTCCCTTCAAAGGAGCACGCTAGGCCGCAATGTCTGTAGACTGGAACTTTATGTCTGTAGTAACTATAAGAGCTTAAACTCACAAAAACGGATGCCCAAACAAATATCAGCAAAGATCATTGTAAAGTATAGAGAAGCAATTTTCTATTCATTGTAAAGTATAGAAAAGCCCGTAGATTTAAATCATTGAAGAGCTCTTGTTGGCTGTGTCCGTCCAGCATGATGGTCAGACCACTTCCCTGGTTTTCATTAGTTGTTGTTTTAAAATCGAATTGGCTTGTATTAAACTGGCCTTTTAAGCTTTATTTTTTTTTTTTTTACTTTAATGTATACCTTTTCAGTATGTAACATATAGGTTGCAGAGGCACATCTTGACTATGGTAATATTTATTTTACAGGAAAAGAATATGGAAAACCCCAATATACTCATCTATATTGGTGAATGAGGTGAGATAAGGAAATGTAAGCCCATTCAGTTTTTTGTCTTTTTTTTCTCTTAAAGTGTTACTCCAACCATTTTTGTGGAGTAAACCCTGCAAACACTGCCTCCCACTCTTCTTCTTATGACAACTAGCTCCTCGCACATTCCAATCACAGGCTTCTCATAGAGAAGCTTTTGAATGGACCATTTTGTGGGTTCAGAACGCATGCAAGCAATCTGAGCCAGTGAGAGGAAGGGGAGAAGGTGTGGGGAGGGAGACAGTGAGCGAGGGTGGGATTTTTTTTTTGTTTAACCCCTTAAGGACACATGACATGTGTGACATGTCATGATTCCCTTTTATTCCAGAAGTTTGGTCCTTAAGGGTTTAAAGCAAGCAATTTTATTGGAAAGCTGGGAGGGGAGAAAAACATGAACCTATTATTTGCACAGTATTGACATTTGGAAGGCCAGAACAGAGATCTGTGCCAGGGGTGTAACTAGCACAACAGATTCCTACCATTATGGCCACTTCAAATCACTAAAGTGGTCATGGTGTTTGTAGTAACCCTTTCAGCTTGTTTTGTACACATTTTGTTTGAGTTTAATGTTTCATGTAGAATTAATTTGCATATGTAGGTCCGGTGAACACCTCTAGAACTTGTGTAAATCTGTCCCTAATTTAGAAACAGAAAGACAATTTTCTAGCATTGATGCTTTTGTTATTTTTTCTTAATTTGAATAATAGCAAATTTTGTTAATCCAAACTGAAGACTTCAAAATAAATTGAGTGGTTGTCGCCTAATTTGTCATATCACATTTTAGGAAGAATGCTGTGTTATTTTCTAGCATGCGGACAGGAGAAATAAGATGAATTAAGTTAAATTAAATATGAGAAATTGAGGAAGTGATAGGAATGTAGCAGTCATCAGTCGAAGAAAAAGTCAGAAGTTTCATCTGCTGAAGCTGTCAGGAAAGTAGAATTTAATGGTAAGTGTCACTTGTTAGTTAATTTTCTCTACAGATTGGAATTAAAATGAGAACCAGAACTGACTTTAAATATCAGGATATAGCGATTGCTAACATTACTGTCTCAAGAGCCATCTCTATAATCAAAATTGAAGTCATTGCATTGAATGTCTCTGGTTCTATTAAATTGGCACTGTAACCGTCTTGGGGCATATGTACGAAAAACCCAGAAAGTGACATTACCACTGGGGATCGGGTGGCCGGGAGAGGGGGGAAGCAAAGGCGAGTTTAACTTACTTGAACCTGTCCTTCCCGGGTGCCACCATTTTCTGGTCTATTCTCTTCTACTCCTGGCGCTGAGCCACTGTCATTGCTGTACTAATGCACATGCACAAGAGTACAGCATTTAGGTCTAAGGATGATCCGGTGAGACCACAGGATCCTCAATAGACAGAGCCAGTTCCCTGCAGCCATCACAAGCTATGTCTGGAGATTGACATTTCTAGACAGTGGTAGCTCCGCCCAGTGTCTAGATGTATCAGACTGATGAAAAATACGGAGACAAAGTAGTCCCTATTTTGTCTCAGTATATCTTTTGACTCTTTTGAAATTTTTGAGAAATGCCAATATGAATATTTCTTTAATCATAGAGATGCATTAATTAAATTAATCTCTATGAAGAGATGCTGTGTTTGACTTGGCTGTGACTTGTGTTTGACTTGGCTTTGACTTGGCCTGGGCTGTGTTTGACTTGTGCTGGCTCTGCCCTTGATCTGCATCTTTGACAGTCTCAGCCAATCCTAAGAGGAAGCAGTGTGATTGGCTCAGGCCACCACTTTTGATGAAGTCAGCAGACAGCAGGCAGACAGGGGCAGAGCCAACATCTACAGACTTGAATACAAGTAATATTTTACTATATTTAGGGAGGCAAGTGGGGTTCAGGTGGGCTAGATGGTAGTTTTAAAACTATTGGGTCAGGAATACATGTTTGTCAAAAGTTGTGTTTAAGAGCTTTTCTTGGAAGCTCCCACCCTACTTGAGCAGAATGTTTTCCCCGGCTGTTCCCACCTCCTATAACATCCGATCCAGTACCAGCACTTTATTTAGTCTACCTCAATACAAAAAGAAAGCAGCCCGATCCTCCTTTTCCGACAGAGCACCGCAATTATGGAATAACCTACTGCACACTTTCAAATTTTCCCCAAGCCTAAAGTCCCTCTCAACATATCTCAAAACAGAATGCACCTGTTATGGTTGATTATACATTTCCTACCTGTTCTATGTTAAAATTTGTATATATTGTGTATTAATATTGTTTTTGTATTTTATTGTACCCTATTGTATCAATGCAATGTTTTGTGGACCCAGGACATACTTGAATCCAAGAGAAATATTTTCCTGGTAAAATATTTTATAAATATATAAATGTCTTTTGTTGTTTCATTACTTCAACCAACATAACTGCTTCTGCTTTTAGAAGTGGTCATGGTGGTAGGAGTCTGTATGCGCATCATTTCTGTTTGAAACGCTGCACATCCAGAGATATTTGCAATTTTGTGCTGAGGGCTAGTTGCTAGTTTACGCAGCACGAAATAGAATTAATTCTGTGCCTGCAAGGGGAAGCTTTAGTACCCCTTCAGGGCTCTTTCCAACCTCCTTGTAGTAAAAATCATACAATGTCTTTTTTTTTTAAACAACAAATCCCATCTATCCATTCCCACCATCCTCCACTCCCTCCCATACCCATCTCAGTGTGTGCACATGCATTTAAAAGCCAGTAAAACAGTCCAATTGAGCAGCATATGATTGGACCACGGAGAGGGAGGCTGTGATGTCAGACAGGGAGTGGAATCCAGTGAGGGGAGCTTCACACAGCACGGTATTTCATTAAAGTTTACAACTTATTTATTAGGGTTTTATGGGGGGGGGGGGACCTAAAGAATAATGTCCAGTTGGAAATTCTAAACTTAGAATAACCATTTAATGTGGTATGTGGTTTTTTTTGGGTTTTTTTAAATGAAAAGCAATCATTCTATACAATCTAGGACATATGCACAATGATACTAATGCTGACTGAATGAAAATATGTTTTAATTTCTTACGAATTGCTAACAATACCAAATAGAGAAATATACAGGAAAACGTATTGCGTGCCCTATCTTTAAAAAAATCCATCAGGGGGTCTCTGCTACTTATAAAAGACAGTAAAAGAAAGATCCTTTCTGTCACCACTCTGATGTTCATCAAAATGTACTGTACTTATTTGAACAAATCCTTTAATACACTGAGCTGGCATTCTGGATTTAGAATGCATGTTTAGAGGATTAGCTATACAGAAGGTTACATTGAGAAAATGTCTCAGTCACAAATAGAAAGTGAATTCTATGTAAGGTAGAAAAGAAGACAAGAGATTTAGACAGACAGATATGCTTATCAGTTTAGCAAAGAGAAAGATGGATGGTATGTTCAATAACAAGGAATGAATGGCATCAGACCTTATCAAACATCAAGGACAGCGTTGACTGTTCGTAAATGGTAATTACAGACCTTGGATACATGAAAGAATGACTCATTAGTGTTCACATAATATAATTAATGTCCATTGTGTTCATACTGTTATGCTTTACTCCCATTAGAATTCAAGGCATTGTTAGATGTCATCACCTCTACAAGTGAACCAGTTTAGTGACATGTCTAAAGGCATAGTCGATATTTTGGCTGTAGTTGTTCAATAAACGTGACACATTTAACAAATTGAGCAGGGTATATATGTGCTCAGTTCCCTTTTTGTGTTTTAGGACAGTTGATTACTGCACGGGAACGTATACATTCTGTATAATAAACAGGTCTAAATTTAGATCATTGTAAATTGATACAAACTGATATGCTGGTAAGGGGGTTTATAATAGAGTGGCTGCCTACCTGCTCTATTTTTAACTCTTACACATCCAACAATGGTGTAAAGAAATAGGGGGCACCATATATTTTGGACCCTCTTGTTTAATGGGGGTCTGGGGTACTTCCATTTGTTTTATTTGATTGATTTAATGTTGTTTTTAAGTCATTTCTCACTGGCTGTTGCTCACCAGCAAAAAAGGTAAATTTATCAGTGTTGTCTCCTACATCTAAATGGGCTGGTACAAATCCAGCATTTGAAAAATATTTGGATCCAACACTTTGTATGGGATTCACAACAGTAGATGGCTCATTCTAATACCTTAAGGAGCAATTATGTGCTATACCATTATAGAAATCTGTCAAGGATCCTATTACAAAATGGAATGGCTCGATCAGTTGCTTACTAGGGTTGTGTAGCTACCAATGCTAAATAAATGGACCATTCCATTTTGGCCTAGAACAGGGGTAGGCAACCTATGGCACTAGTGCCATGCACAGCACTCAAGGTGTCTTTGCATGGCACTCAAGGCTACTACAGCCAAACAGGCACTGGCCAATCAGGAGTCCCAGTGAAACTTCAGATATCTGCTAATACGAAAAGGTGGTGAAGGACAATCCTCAATTTATGCATTACAGCACATAGAGTAAGTGATCTCAGATCACTTCCTCCCAGCACTTGTGAATGGGAATCCACACTGTAGTAGAGCAGCCTGCAGTTGCTGTTGCAGCTCCTGTCCTTGACCTGTACCTGGCCAGCCTGGTCCCCACTGGAACCCAGGGAAGCCACACACACTGCTAAATATACACAGAAATGCACAATAACCCTCCCCTCATACAAATAATACAAATAGCCCACAAACAAACGTAACCCGCTAACAATCCACATACATGCACACAACCCCACATGCAGCCTCTCACATGCAATACCGCAAACATCCCCCACACATACACACACTACCAAACACAAAATGTGACATATTCATCCACACACACAATTCCACAAGCAGCCCCCATACACAGCCCACATTCATATGTATCATACACGATACCAAAAAACTACTCCTGAACATATACAATATAATAGCTCATATAGCACAAATACAACGATACAAAGCAACTGCAGTATAAAAAAACACAAGCAGAATACGGCAGCATTCACACCTCAAGTTAAAAAAATAGGACAGGCACGCTATGGGACATCACAATCCTATATCGGCATAGTGCTGCTAAAAGGTTGCCTACCCCTGGCTTAGAAGATGGTAATAACAACATTGTGTAAAATTGGGTTAAAATAAACACTGAATTGTAAAGAAAGAAATCTTCACCAGATTTTCTCTCCGTAAATGTCTTATTCACAGATTAATTGATTTTTACAGAGTTTTGCTTTTCTGGTGCTCATATGGACTTTAGATACTAGATAGCCCTCAAATCTTATCTTCTCTACATGTTTACACATGTTAAATGTACAATATTTAATGTTTAAAAATGTTCTGGTTTTGTCAGATAACTAGATTAATACACCTAATATTACATTATTTCATCAACATAGGAATTCCAGGGTTAATAGAGTCATAAAAATAAGGGAAAAAAAGAAAGAAAGCTGTAAAATAATATTATTAAGAAATAAATGTACATTTATACTCTATTTTTCTATCTTGTGAATTAGTGTCCATGTGTTCAGAAATAAATGTACATACTGTAAAACTTAAATACATTAAAATGTGTGCAGTTGTATTTCAATACATTCAGTTTTAACAACACACAATATTCATTCTTGAAGAGTTCCATTGATATTTATACTCTATTTTTCTATCTTGTGAATTAGTCTCCACGTGTTTAGAAATAAATGCAAGAACCGAAGCAACTAGAATTAATTTCCGTTTTGCAAACAAGTTTAAATAAATACATGCAGTTATGTTTGCATAGTTTGCTGACATTATAACTAGTGATGTCCCGAACGGTTTGCCGAACGGTTCGCGAACGGTTTGCCACGAAACGTTCGCCACGGACTCATCATTGAGTAAACTTTGACCCTGTACCTCACAGTCAGCAGACACAATCCAGTCAATCAGCAGCACACCCTCCCTCCCAGATCCTCCCACCTCCTGGACAGCATCCATTTTACATTCATTGTAAAGCTGCATTCTTAGTGAGCTGTCCAGGAGGTGGGAGGGTCTGGGAGAGAGGGTCTGCTGCTGATTGGCTGGAATGTGTCTGCTGACTGTGAGGTACAGGGTCAAAGTTTACTCAATGATGAGTCCGTGGCGAACCATTCGTGGCTAACCGTTGGCGAACCGTTCGGGACATCACTAATTATAACACCTCGATCATATCTGTCTGACCATATATTCTCTAAGCTTGTGAAAAGACTTTTTAGGACATGACCCATTCAGCCCTTTGTGTACAGCATCAAAGTCTATTCATATGTATTAGAAATATTTTTTAAAATTTTTTTATTTTAAGTTAATTGATACCAAAAATGGTCCTGCTATTCTTAAGCTATTTATGGTCTATCTATGTCAGGAAACTGACAGGGATCCAATACGCAGAGTGCGCACAGAAGGAGGTACGTATACCGGACCTTAGAATGGCCGGACTAACGTAAGGACAAAGCAAGAATAGTCAAAAGGTAAGCCGAGGTCAAGGGAGCCGGAGGACAGGTAAGCGAGATACAAGCCGAGTCAAAGGAGAGGAGAGGACAACAGGACAAAAGACAAGCAAGGGTCAAAACCAGAAACACTAGATAAAGAACGCGCTGAGTGACTAGCAAGCTAGAACCACGACAGGGCAATGAGCAGTAGTAAAGGTTTCCTTTAAATACCCTGTACCTAAATAGAGACCACGCCCCCAAAAGGTCCGGAATAGCGGTTCCCGGCACTTTATGCAAATGCCGACGTCATGACGTCGACGCTAGCCGTCGCGTCATAAAAGGGGGAGGAGCTAGCGCGGCCGGCGCGAAAACGGCCGGAATATGCCGAAATGCTAGGGGAAGGGAGCCCCTAAGCAGAGAGGATGTCCTCCCTGGATACATCACCAACAGGTACCCTGACAGTACCCCCCCTTCTAGAAACGCCCACCGGGCGGATGGGACCTGGCTTAGAAGGAAAACGAACGTGGAAGGCCCGAAGAAGACGAGGAGCATGCACGTCTATACCAGGAACCCAAGACCTCTCTTCTGGACCATAACCTTTCCAGTCTATGAGGTATTGCAGCTTCCCCCTAGAAATACGAGAATCAAGGATGGACTTGATGATATATTCCTCCTGACCATCCACACGGACCGAGGATGGAGGAGTAGAGCGGGAGGAAAATCTGTTACAAACAAGAGGTTTCAATAACGACACATGAAAAGAGTTAGGGATGCGTAGAGTAGGAGGTAGATCCAGCAAATAAGAAACCGGGTTGATCCTCCTCAGTACCCTGTAAGGACCAATGTAACGAGGAGCAAACTTCAAGGAAGGAACTTTCAGGCGAATGTGTCTGGTACACAACCAGACCCTATCCCCCGGAGAAAAAATAGGAGCAGGACGTCTACGCCTATCAGCATGTGACTTAAACACCGCGGAACTACGTTCAAGAATTTGTCGAGTCTGATCCCACAACTTTCTCAGGTTGGCTATATGAATATCAACCGACGGTATACCCTGGGAAGGAGACACCGACGGAAGAACAGTAGGGTTAAAGCCATAGTTCAAGAAAAAGGGGCTATTATGAGTGGAACCACAAACAAGGTTGTTGTGAGCAAACTCCGCCCAAGGAATCAGACCGACCCAGTCATCCTGGTGTTCAGAAACAAAACAACGTAGATATTGCTCAATTTTTTGGTTAGTGCGTTCGGCTGCTCCGTTAGATTGAGGATGATAGGCCGAAGAAAAATTCAGTTTGATGCCCAACTGTGAACAGAAGGATCTCCAAAAACGGGAAATAAATTGGGAACCCCTGTCTGACACAATCTCATTGGGAATACCATGTAAACGGAAAATTTCTCTAGCAAATATCACGGCCAGTTCGGGGGAGGACGGAAGTTTAGGCAAGGGAATGAAATGAGCCATTTTAGTAAACCTGTCAAGGACCGTGAGTATAACTGTATGCCTATTGGAAGCTGGTAGATCAACAATAAAATCCATAGCCAAGCAAGCCCAAGGTTTGTTGGGAACGACTAAGGGCTGCAATAAACCACAAGGGAGATCCCGCGGAAGTTTATTCCTGACACAAACATTGCAAGCCTTGACAAAGTCTTCCACATCCCTACGTAAACCGGGCCACCAGAAGTCTTTTGAGATCAGGCAGTAAGTTTTGTGGATGCCGGGGTGACCAGCGATCTTGCTATCGTGGAAACAGCGAATAATGTCCACTTGGAATTTGGGAGACACGAACAAGCGGCCCACAGGAGTACGTTCGGGAGCAAGAGATTGTTCGTTCTGAATATCAGCGAGCAATGGAGAGTGTATTTTGACATTGGTGTTGGCGATAATATTGACTTCAGGAATAATAGGGAACAAAGTATCCTCTGTAGAGGTGGTAGGTTCGTGCTGACGTGACAAAGCGTCTGCCTTAGTGTTCTTAGAACCAGGCCTGTAAGTAAGCACATAATTAAAGTGTGTAAGGAACATAGACCAACGTGCCTGCCTGGCAGATAATCTTTTGGCCTCCCCCATATACGATAAATTTTTGTGGTCAGTCAAGATAGTAACTGGGAGGACGGTGCCCTCTAACAAATGTCTCCATTCCTTTAATGCCATAATGATAGCTAAAAGTTCTCTATCACCAATGTCATATCTCCTTTCAGTGTGTGACAGTTTCTTGGAAAAAAAACCGCAAGGGTGCAGCGGCTTATCTAAACTTTGTCTTTGGGATAACACTGCGCCTATCCCTGTTTCAGACGCATCAACTTCAAGTAAAAAGGGTAGAGAGGTATCAGGATGAACTAATACAGGTGCTGAGGCAAAAGACTGTTTGAGCGTTTCGAAAGCAGATAAAGCCTCAGTAGACCAGGTTTTGGTATCGGCTCCTTGTTTGGTCATATTAGTGATAGGAGCGATAACAGAGGAGTACCCTTTAATAAAACGTCTGTAATAATTAGAAAATCCAAGAAATCTTTGTATGGCTTTGAGTCCCTTAGGTAAAGGCCAATCTAAAATCGATTTTAGTTTGGTCGGGTCCATCATAAACCCGTCTTTGGAAATTACGTAACCTAAGAAAGTTACCTGAGACTGGTCAAAGCTACATTTTTCCAATTTACAATACAATCCATGTTGTAAAAGTTTCTGTAATACCTTTCTGACTTGTCTATGATGTGAATTAATGTCTCTAGAATGGATTAGTATATCATCCAAATATACAATTACACATTCATGTTGGAATTCTCTAAGAACTTCATTGATCAAGTCTTGGAAGACGGCCGGGGCGTTACAAAGCCCAAACGGCATTACGGTATACTCATAATGCCCGTAACGGGTATTAAATGCTGTCATCCATTCATCTCCTTGTTTAATTCGCACTAAGTTATATGCTCCCCTTAAGTCAAGTTTAGTAAAAATACTCGACCCCTTTAGTCTGTCAAAGAGTTCAGTAATCAAAGGAATAGGGTAAGCATTTCTGATAGTAATTTTGTTCAATCCCCGATAGTCTATACAAGGACGTAAGGTACCGTCTTTCTTTTCTACAAAAAAGAAACCCGCCCCCGCCGGAGAAGAAGACTTTCTAATAAATCCCTTGTCTAAATTCTCCTTGATATATTCCTCTAAAACTAAGTTTTCCTTGGTGGATAGAGGGTATACCGTACCCCTGGGAGGCATAGTACCAGGGAAAAGTTTAATAGAACAGTCATAAGACCGGTGGGGAGGTAAAGTATCCGCCTTACCCTTGTCAAATACAGATTTGAGGTCTAGATATTGTAATGGTATCTGAACGTCTGTGGATTGAGAAGTGTTAGCATAAGAGTTCACGGGGCAAACAGAAGTAACTCTCTGCAGACATTCTTTCCTACAACCCATACCCCAAGAAACGATTTCTCCACCCTCCCAGTCAATCTGAGGGTTGTGTCTCTTGAGCCAAGAATATCCTAGAACCACTGGGACTGCCGGGGAGGAAATTAACAGAAGGGAAATCAACTCTTCGTGGAAAATACCAACAGTAAGCTTAACG